TGATCAAACATGGACTTCATAAACAGAGAAAAAAATCGATTTAAAGAGCAAGCAAATCACCCTTTGGAGATTCTGATCAGTAGGCTCGGGCTTGGGAGCAGCTAGTTTGCTGGTTGCATCATCTTCCTCATCACAGAGCTGAAGCAGACGGCAAATGTCTGATGAGAAAGACCCCAAAGTACCACCCTGTGATTTTGCAAATCAAAGTAAGTTTCCACAAGTTAAAACAATCAAAAAGAAGCAAAATTTCCATACTTGTTGCAAGGATGATGCAGGAGAAGGCTCGTTGAGCTCTGATTTCCACTCACGGAGCATCTGATTCACTTGCTCCTCAAGAAGTGTCACATCGGTGCCTCTGCTCTCTTTCCTGGCAAACTGGAGATCCAAGAGCATCCCTTGGAGATCATCAACACGGTTCTTGGCCTTGTCCTTGAACAGCTTGTGAGAAGCAGATCTGCAATTAGTCTTGGATCGCTTCCCCGTCATAAGAAACTCCCTCCCTCAACACAGATTCTCTACAACGCAATCAAAACCATAAAACAAATCAAATACTAGCAAACATGATCACTCTACAAAGCTACATGCTTTGATTAAACTGACAAACCAAAAATTACAGTAAACTAATTTCAAAATCGAATTGGAAACAAGATGAACAACCAAAATCGAATAAAGATAAACAAAATTCGAAGTAGCTTTTGGGGTTTTTTACTTAGCTAACCGATGATCAGGCCTGACAAAATAAAAAAACGAGCAAGGATCACAACTATTAGGATCAACCAATGAAAAAAAAAAACAGCTTACGAAAACGAAATGAATCATGCAAAGAGTTAAAAGGAAGAAGAGATCGAGCTAAGCAGAAAAACAAGATGATCATGAAGGCCAAAGCAAAAGACGAGAGATTTTTGGAGAAACCCAGGAGATCACCTTACTGTAGCTGCAGCAAATGAGCAGCAACCAGAGAAAATCGTTGAATCGGAGTGGAAAAATAAATTAAAAAGCCACACAAAGGAATTAGAGAAAACGTTGGTGGCTTCTCTTCTTCTCTTAGCCCTCCACTTTTCTTTTTTTCCGCTTTTATGAGCAAAATTCGATGAATTGAAGAAAAGACCATCTTGTACACTTGGAGTAAAACATACCAGTTGTAGTGTGCAACTGTTACCAAATTAATCAATTTTGGGTAAAATTTAAGATTTTACCCATCACTTTGGAAAATCAAATCTAAATATATAAGTGGTATTTGGATTCTATTTTCTTTCTTTTATTGCTCATGTCATCATCTTTATGCTGTTTTTATTAAGAAAATTATAGAAGAGATATTAAATATGCATTTGAAAGAAAAAGAAAAAAAAAATCATGTCTTAGTAAAAAAAAATTGCTAACTTTGATTTTTTTAAAATTTATAGTTAAATCATGTATTTTTTTTAACGTTCACATGATTTTTTACAAATTTGGAAAAAAAAAACAAAAACAAAAATCTTCAAACTTGATTTAAGAAAAAAACTTTACCGTAGTGTGATATTTGTTTTGGTTTAGTTTAATCTAATCAATCTAGAATATATACTTTTGAATATTCTTCTTTTAAATAGATATTAAAAACATTGGTTAGTGTGATATACACATGGTAATTAATTTGCATGGGCTTGCATTAGTCATTACTAATGGAATCTTTGGTATGGAACTGCAAAATGACAAATTGGAAAAGTGTGTGAATACTAAAAATATAATCTATCTTGTGTTTTGCAAGTGAGAAGAAAATTCGATGTGAAAACTGAAAAGCGAAAAGAGATGGAGATATTGGCAAGGAAGGAATAAAAAGCTTTTCTCCACTACGTTCCTCCATATATTCCTATTTTGTGATGCTCATTTCTTTCCATCATGCCATTTATTTTACTTTCGGTTTCATCAATGGTCATATTCTTTCTTTCTTTATTCTCATTCTCAACAGCACAATGGTCCTCGTATAAACTCCAAACCAAATAACTCGCCAATCCATCTTACAAATAATTGACTAAACACGATTGTATTTTAAGTCACACTCGAACTACTTTAGTGTTTTTTACATCTCCCGTTTACTAATTAGAAAGCTACATTTTCCAAACCTTTTCTTTTAATGTATACATGCATGAAAAATGATGTGGTCCTTACACCAAATTTATCCTAGTTGGATTGGATCACTACTTCACTTTAACTTAGACAAGAACCAAATTAATGCGGTGGACGGTTGTTTTTAATTAAAAAAAAAACAAATTCCCTATAAGTTCTTTTCATTCATTTTGTATGATTGTTCACCAGAATAGTCAATAGATTTCATTTATATAACACAAGCGAAAACGTCCACCTCATAGACAAAAAGAGGGAGAAGCGTGGTTCCACTACCATGATGCTTAAGCATGGGGTATAATTTTCCACAACGAAACTCAACTTTCGCATGAAAAACGGTGTTTTATCAAATTATCACACTATAGCTAATGAATTATCCATGCATGAGATAGCAGGTTCTTTAGATTTGAGGTTCAACATTTGTTTCGATCTATCGTATTTGATTGTCGCGTTTAACTTTGACTTTAGGTTTTGATCATCAGTAAAATTCTACGTTGTTATCATTTACATGAACGTGTGTCGTATTTGAATTTGATTTAGATGTTCTAGGTTGTATTGTATGTTAAACATTATTTTCGTTTGATTTTGTTTTTAAGGTTTTTCATGATGTATTAAGCATTTCATTATCGGTTAATAATGATGTTAAAACTGACCGTCCAAATTACCAATACTGTACATCCTAACTGGTTGCTCGAGAGATCTTTGCATTATATAGCTAGGCTTAGACCATTTAGTAAAGGAGGTTCTTTGCCTCTAGGATTATGGGTTTATAATTATATCATACAACATGCACAACTTGAGATTAGCTCATTACAAACCTAACAAAAAGCACCAGTGGTCTAGTGGTAGAATAGTACCCTGCCACGGTACAGTCCCGGGTTCGATTCCCGGCTGGTGCAATGAGCCGTGATGAATTTTTGGACGTATATGGACGTGTTTTGCATTGCAGATACGTCCAAATATTTGCAGGTACATTTTGCCAAAACGACAACTAATTTGAAACGGAGGGAGTAATACATAATAGAGATAGTACAAAATAATAGTACGTAACTAAATTCCGATTGGTAACAATATTTAAAAATTACCAATATTGGTAACATTACAAATATAATATTTTGTTATAAATGTTAGAAATATTTAAAAATAGATATATTAATTGACAAAAAAATAAAAAATAACTTAAATATTGATATTCAAATATAGTCTAAAAATATAATATAAAATATTTTATTTTTTTTTGTTTACCAACACATTTACTTTGTAAAATACTAGAAAATATTAGTTACAAGTTTTTTTTTAAGAAAAAAATATTTTATATTTGAAGGAAAGTTTTATAATTTGTATTGTTTGGAAACTTTTTTACTTTCTTATTTACTTATCAAGAGATAAATGATTGATTTGCTTTCATATTTATGACATTTTTTTTCTTGCACTGTAGTTACAATTGTTCACAGTTCATTTACATGCCCAAAATCATAAACTAGACCTACACATTATTAAAAGGAAATAAATAAATTAAAATTAATTTGCTATGTTAAATATAAAACGAATCATAAAAATGCATGCATGTATTAATAGAAGTTTCTATATTAAGTGTGGATAATTTCATCCATTCTACATTAATGCACAAAAAATCACATTAATCCACAAAAGTTGCTATACAAAGTCACATTAATGGACGAGAAATCACCTCACAAAAAAAAAATGTTTTGTACCACCCTTATTTCTTGTAACACCACATAAAAGTAGCTTTACATTTGAACCATTGTTTTGTCATTTGTAACATCACTATTTTGTTGTAATGCTACTTTTTTTGTAAAATGCTTTTTGAACTATCACATATGTAATACTCTTTTGATTGGTAACATAACAAGCATTACAAGTTCTACTACCTCCATTTATGGTTACCAATCAAAGCCAATATATTTATTCATTCGTGAAGCTGATCACTTTTCAGTAAATATTTCTACCTCCCTCACTGTTTTTGAATTTGTAAACTGAAAGCACATCTGGGTTGGGTTGATGATAAAACCCAAGAAAAGTTAGAATATTTAAAATAACGGGATTCAACCGTTAAATAAGAGTAAGAAAAAAAAATCGGTTAAATATAATTTTATAAGATGGTTGACTACCAGGTGATCAAGATCAGTTAATTAGAGTCTATGTTTCATTTTTAAGATTATGTTGCGTTGGTATATTTTCTAGCAATTTTTCAATAAATGCTTTCGACAAAATGACCGGATTATGAGAACGATGGAAACATCGCGGCGGTGGGATGGTTCTGTATAATATACTGTACTCACAATATTTGAGTTTATTTAAATAAAAGTTGTGTTCAAAATGTGAAACATGTGTTTGAGAAAATGTAGGTTCACAAAGAGTAAGCGTTCGCAAGCCGGTTTGCTTTCTCCAGTGGGATGGTTCTGGATATTTTGGTGACACACCATCACTACCTCCTCAAGAATCTCAACCCGCACCAGGAGATGTTGAAAATATTTCTACTGGAGCTATTGTTGCGACTGTTGTTTATGCGGTTATATTTGTGGTTCTGCTGATAAACCCTCTTCATATGGCTTTGCAATATCCATTATTATTCTGATTATAGAGAAATCGGAATATGGTGGGAAAACTTAATCTTTGTAATTCATAAATAACCATCAAATATATCAAACAACCCAAATAACGCATAAATATATCTTACATTGTAAGAAAACTGCATCAGGAGTTAACTTCGATGATAAAAATTTACTCTGGCAATAATATAAATCAGATAAAAAACTATTAAAAAACACCAAAAAACAAGAGAAATAAAACGACAAACACACAAGATAAGAGCATGTTTAATGGGGGAAACTTAAGAGGGTGCTTAAAAGATTTTTTAATATTAAAAGTGTTTTAGCACATGTGTTAAGAATTCTCTGTTTTTTTCATGTTTAATGGGAGTAGCTTAATTTGGGGTGCTTAAGAAAAAAAATTAACTTTAATTTTATTAGTGAACAAAACATAAAATACATTGCATAAATTAAAATTTGAAACATACTTGATTTACAAACATTTGAAACATAAAATTCAAGAACATAAACATAAATAAAAACTTAGCCAGCACGTTAAGTATCTCCAACAATATGTGGATAAAGATGTCCAAATGTTTCCCATATATTCTCAAACAAATCATTTTTCAATTGCTGATGCATTTGTTCATCACGAATACTTACTCTCACACTCATCTCCAATTGACTCTTCTCTGAATCGCAATATGATGCTCCTCACATCAAGTTTATGTAAACATGCAGAAAGACAAAATGCAGAGCTTGTTAATCGTTGTACAAATAATAAAATGCAAACATGAAACTCGCTGGATCCATCAAAAATTAGAGTGAACAAAA